AAAAAAAAAAAAAAAAAGGAAAGAAAAACTAAGGGCAGGTGGGGGGTGTTTAAGATGTAGCTTAGTGATAGAGAGCCCCTAGGCTTATTCCCCAACACTTTGAAAAAAAAGGCATAATAGAACAATAAACCTGCACATACTCATTCCAGATTTAAAAATTATCAAGAGAGCCTAGTGCTGTGGCACACACCTATAATCCCAGAGGCTCAGAAGCCAGCCTCAGTAAAAGCAACATGCTAAGCAGTTCAGTGAGATACTGTCTCTAAATAAAAAATATAAAATAGGGCTTGAAGTGTGGGTCAATGGTCAAGTACCCCTGAGTTCAATCCCTGAACCCCCCCAAAAAAAATTATCAAGAGTTTATTACACTGTCTCTTTTTCTCTCTGAATTGTTTTTGTTAATCCTAGATATATTTCAGTATATATCCTTTAAAAATATACATGTTGGGCTGGGGATATAGCTCAAGCTGTAGCGCGCTCGCCTGGCATGCGTGTGGCCCGGGTTCCATCCTCAGCACCACATACAAAGATGTTGTGTCCGCAGAAAACTAAAAAAAAATAAATAAATATTAAAAAAAATTCTCTCACTCTCTCTTTAAAAAAAAAAAAAGAAATAAATATATATATATATATATATATATATATATATATATATACATGTTATTACACCTTAATGTTAATATCACACCTGACAAAAAGAACAGTACTTATTGACTTTCACCTAATATCTGGACTATAATCAAATTTCTCAGATCATTGAAGTTCAGCCCACTTAATCCTTAATTAAGGATATACAGCTGGCTATATTCTATTTCAGTCACCTAAAACAATGAAATTTAGAAGGATACTGAGATGGAAAAAACTTCTTTTTTTTTTTTTTTGTTTGTTTGTTTGTAAAGTATCTCAAGTAAAAGAATATTCCTCCCAGATACAGATAAGTTTGAAAGTATTTGGGCAAGCATCTGTGTTATTATCTATGGATTAGTTAATATTATCTGCGATATGAGTTCCCATCATGCTTGTTGTCAGAAAGCATAATTAACCGGGATGAGTCTTAGTTGTGTTAAGTACAGCTTCCTGCCAAACCTCAACTCACCTGCCCCATTCTCTATAATCAGCATAAGGGGTTATTGAAGTGTATGGTGTTTCCTGACACTGTCTCTGGAACACCTGTGCTGTTATCATGCCAGTTTAGGCATTAAAAATATAGCAAGATTGGGGTAGGGGGTAAGCTCACTGGTAGAACCCTTGTCTAACATGAGGGAGGCCCTGGGTTTGGTCCCCAGCACCACCAAAAATAAACAAATAAAATTAAAACATAGTAAGAGCTGGGGTTGTGGCTCAGTGGTAGAGCGCTTGCCTAGCATGTGCGAGTCACTGGGTTTGATTCTCAGCACCACATACAAAGAAAATAAAGGTCCATCAAATATATATATATATTCAGCTCTTTCAAAATATTAGTCCTGTTAATTTCCAGAGTCACACACACATAGAGTGCTTTTAAGTACTTTACCTAACATGTTTCATTTTTTTAAAAAAGCCATTAAACGGACAGGTGTGGTGGCACACACCTAGAATCCCAGTGATTCGGAGGCTAAGGCCAGAAGATCACAAGTTTGAGGCCAGCCTCAGAAAGTTTGAGGCCAGCGTGAGGTCCTATTTCAAAATAAAAAAGGACTGGGATATAGCTTTGTAGTAAAGCACCCATGGGGTGGATCCCCAGTACCAAAACAAAAGCCATTAAGAATGTGCTTACACTGGGCGCAGTGGCGCAAGTCTGTAATCCCAACAGCTCAGGAGGCAGAGGCAGGATTATCACAGGTTCAAAGCCAATTTAGTAAGGACCTGTCTCTCAATAAAATATAAAAAAGGGCTGGGGCTGTGGCTCAGTGGTTGAGGCCCTAGGTTTAATTCCAAATACCAAAAAAAGAAAAAAGAACGTGTTTAGATGAAGCCAAACCAGCAATATAAAAACAGACAAATGAAATCTTAAGAGGATAGTTGACCAAATGTTTTAGTACTGGGAAATAGAATTTTATTTATGTATTTATTTATATAGTTGTACTTGGGATTAAACATAGGGGCTCACACATGCTAAGCAAGTGCTCTACTACTGAGCTACATCCCCAGATGTTTTTTATTTTATTTTGAGACACCTTACAAAGTTGAGTAGCCTGGCCTTGAACTTGCAATCTTCCTGCCTTGAACTTGCATCTTCCTTCCTCAGCCTCCCAAGTAGCTGGCATTATAGTTGTATGCCACTGTGTCTGGCAAAGGAAGTAGTATTAACTATTTCCTCAACAAATATTTTTTCTCCATATCCATGGATTCTGCCTCCACAGCTGTAGTGGTCATGTACAGATATTTTTTTTTCTTGCCATCATTCCTTAACAATGTAGCATAACAACAATTTACATAGCATAAATGTTGTATTAGGTATTTTAAGTAATTTAGAGGTGATTTAAAGTATGTAAGAAGATGTTTGTAGGTGGTAGGCTACTTGCAAATACTACACCATTCTATGTAAGAGACTCAAGCATCTGCAGATTTTGATATATATTTATATATAAATGTCAAAGTTTCAATTATTTTATAATTTTTATTTTTATATTTTTAATATTTATTTTTATAAATGCCTATTATGTATATATGTATAAATATGTATGTATATATAAAGTCATATATGTACATAGTCATTATAAAATAAGTGAAAATTTGATATTAGTAGTGAATTGCCACCTGGGGTTGTGGCTCAATGGTAGAGTGCTTGCCTAGCATGTGTGAGGCACTGGGTTCTATCCTCAGCACCTTATAAAAATAAATAGAAATAAAGGTTTTTTTAAAAAAAGAGTTAACTCAAAAAAATAGTGAACTGCATTAGTATATGCTTAAGACATGTACATGCTGTCTGTGTACTTTAAACTTTTAAAACTGTAATTTGAATCGGAAGATATGAAAAATACAAAAAGAAAATTAAGGGTAAAATTAAACTATGGTTCCACATAAAATGTAATGCCAAGGGCAGGCACAGTGGCATATACCCATAATCCCATCAAAGGAGGATCACAAATTAAAAGCCAGCCTCAGCAACCTAGCGACGTCCTAAGCAACTCCCTGTCTCTAAATAAAATACAAAATAGGTCTGGGGATGTGGCTCAGTGGTTGAGTGCCCCTGAGTGCAGTCCCTGGCACTGCCTGCCCCACCCCCTACAAAATGTGATGCCTATACTATGGATTTTAATTATTTATTTATTTTTTTTTTTGAGAAGAGGTCTCTCCCTCTCTCTTGTACTTATCACCTCTTCTGCCTGCTTCCCCCCTGCTTCCCTATGTCATTTCACAAACACATCATTTTATATTTTATTTAGATTAATGTGTAAGGCTGGAAAATACTGTAAACAACGAGAAAAAATGCAAAATAGATTATATTGAAGATAAGAACAATTCCAAAAATAGTCGTCTGCCTCTCTGTGTTTTTGTTCTCCCAGTAACGAAGCTCACTGCCTTTAATTATAGCTTGAGACAGTGTGTTGAAATATTTAATCTCTGAGTAATGACTGGATTTTAGTTTCCTAATTGGCATCTGTGTGTTTAGCATTTCTACCAAATCCCAATCTGAGAATGCGCACACAATACAAGACATGAGTTTCTAAGTAAAACATTTCTGATACATGCCACCTTAGCTCCAGGGCAATAATGTTACAACAAAGGGGGAAGGATAAATATCATATGTTTTATGATTTCACATATTTTTAATGCCTGACCAACAACCTGTCAGGGTTTACAAGTTAAACCACAAATCCATGTGTGATCACAGTACCTAGTGAAGTATAATTGCAGCCCCAAAGAAGCCCTTGGCCTTGGGAAAGTGTCTTGCTCATTCTTGAATGGTATTTCAGGTACCTGGGAGTAGTTCCCAGGAGATAATGCTCCGCCCACATTGGTTGACTTAATTTAAAACCTTGTGAAACCAGCTTGAAGGGACAAAAGGATAGGCTAAGTAGAGAAATGATCAGCTTGAATCCATTCACCAAAATTTATTTGTGTTTTCCTAAATGGAGAATCCAGGGAAGTATCATTTGGGCATCTTCCCCTGGATTATCGTTAGCTTCATATTGTTCGAAACAAAATGCCACTCATGCAACACACCTCTTGGGTGAGTCCATGAAACACACTGTGGGTGTGGGACCTGCACGTTCACATTCCCGGAATAATGCCTATTTCCCCTCAGTAGTGTTTATCCAGCCTAAAGTTACACCCGGGAGAAGGTGGAGCAAGAGGTGGAATCACAGAACCCAGCTGTTCTCCCCATTGAGAAGCTTCGTTTTATTTTCAGTCTAGTTAATATGGGGAAACCGACCCCACCCCCCATACATCTGACAGCAGGAACTCAAGACAGGACAGCCAGCTCTGTTAGAAGCTTTGGGGCTCCATATTTACCCAGATGCCAGAGTATCCAGAGTCCTCTGAAAATGAAAACTGCTCTTTCCAAAAGTGAGTAACACTGTGTGGGATTACAACTTGAACCTTTCTGCCCTCAAGGTGAAACAATGAATGAGTAAAAGAGGCCACTCCCAAATACCAAGCATCACTGAGGCTTACTTAATAGGATCAAAACAAAGCCAGTTCCTGCCTTGGCCTGGCTCACCAGTCACTAGATGACCTTGGAAGCCAGCGGGCTACGTTGACTGGCGTGGTCACCTGGTCAACTGTTCTGCTGTTCTGCACCTCATATTCATCTTTTCCAGGTACAATCCAGAGTAAGAACTTTTACAGTCACCAAATTCAGATAAAGAGGATCCCATCATATCCCTGGTGCTGTTGTCCATCCATATCTCTCCTCAGTATTATCAGTTCTGAGTTTCACTGAAATGAAGCTCATTGGACCCAACTGGGTCTAGTTAGAGAGGTATGTTAATGACATGAGGCTACAAGGCTGTAAGATCCTACACTTCTGAGGAATTAATAACTTCATTCCTGGCCAAAAATGCTGAGTTGACAATGTTCTTTGGACCTTTTGTCATAGCAAGGTTTAATTCTCAATCCAGAGAGAACAGATTGGTTGGCATTATCACTTGGAAAGGAGATTACTTCCCATTTTTGGCTCATCCTGTATCTGGAAGCAACCAATCTGAAGTTCATGTAGCCATATCCTCTAATAACTGAAGGAGAAGAGATGAAGGATGTCCTAGAGAGGCCCTTGGCCATTTACACTTTATATTCTTCTGGCAGTAACGACTCAGAGGCACTTTGAGCCTCTTAACCCAAAACTTCACTTAACTCCCACAACAAACCTGTGCATGGCTCAAATAACCCCAAAGTGGAATTGAGCACAGCACAGCATATGTCTCCAGGCAGGTAGGCTTGGGAAACCGAGGCCACCACCTGTTCATCCACTGTTTACTTCTTTTCTTTTTTTCTTCTCTCTCTCTCTCTCTCTCTCTTTCTTTTTTTCCCCTGTCAATGCTAGGGACTGAATCCAGGGTCCTTTATTACTGAGCTACTACCTCAGTCCTTTTTTATTTTGAGACAGGGCTGAAACTGGCCTCAAATTTGTGATCCTCCTACCTTAGCCTCCAGAGTCACTGGGACTGCAGGTGTGTACTACCACATCCAGCTGCATTTCTCTTTTTTAAATCTAAGGGATGAGTTAGATGTTTCTGATCCATTATGTGCTTTGGCTTTGATATTCTCTGGCTCATACTCTGGGCTCCCGTTCTCCTCCAGCACTTGGAGGAACAGTGGGAGAGGAAGAAGGATCAGTTGATTGCTTTTGTTGTTATTTTCTTCACACTGATACAAAACAAAACTCCTTTTGGTTCCTTCCTGAATCTATCATCTAAGAACCAATATATCCTTGGCTTGAATGAATCAAGTGGCTTAAGAACAAACTAATGATATCTGTTTTAGGGGACTCTAGGAAGAGAACTCCTACCTTTACACAAGAAAGATAGTTTTTATTCACTCAATCAACACATGTATACTGAGCACCTAATACTGTCAAGCATCATGGTGGGCATTGTCAATTCAATATGAGAAAACACCTGAATTGTGCTCTAGTGGCACTTACAATCAAGTGTGAGAGAGAAACATCAAGCAAATAGTGACAAATGAGGTTGTATTATAACATGGGTACAATATAATTTTATATAATTTTTTAAAATAGGAATATAACCACTGATTTTTTTTAAAAAAGCACATATTAGTTAAAAGCAAAAAGAAAAAAACATAAATGGGGAAAAATGCAAGAAAAAATTATAGCATTTATTTATGTGGTCCTAGGGATTAAACCCAGGGCCTCCCACATTCTAGGCAAGTGCCCTACCACTGAGTCACACCCCCAATCTACAATGAAATTGTTTTTGTTTTTTGGGGGGAGGGGTGCCAGAAAGTGAACCCAGGGTGCTTTATCACTAAGCTGCATCCCCAGCCCTTTTTATTTTAAGACACTAAGTTGCCAGAGTCTGGCCTAGAACTTTCTATCCTCCTGCCTCAGTTTCCTGTGTAACCAACACTCCTGGCTTCAACTGGTTTTTAAAAGAGATGATCTCAGGAAGACCAGAAATGAGGAAGTAGAACAAGGAAGGGAAGGAAGCCAAAAAAAGGAACATTATTGAGTAAATTTCTGCTACGTAACTGCAACTGGGGCTCAGTCCTGCTGGAGACTCTGGAGGACACTGAAAAACATGCCTTGAGTTTTCCTACCCAAGGGGCAAGGAGAAGCCTCTGGTTCTCATCATCATTGAAGCCTACTCCAGGGACATTAACTTCTCAGCACATCTATATGTAAAATGGAGGATTTTTGGTGCAAGTATTAGAATAGATATTGGAATGTACTGGAATGTACAAGGGGATATAGATCTCACAAGAATTTCTGAACTCTTTGTAAAAGAAACCAGAATCTAAAATGATCCCCAACAGGCATGGGGGCACGCCTGTAATCCCAGCAGCTTGGGAGGCAGAGGCAGGAGGATCCCATGTTTAAAACCAGCCTCAGCAACAATGAGGCACTAAGTAACTCAGTGATAGTTTGTATCTCTAAGTAAAATACAAAATAGGTCTAGGGACGTGGCTCAGTGGTTGAATGCCCCTGAGTTCAATCCCTGATACCAAAAAAATAAAAGAAAGAAAAAAGAAATCGGTCCCCATAATCTTCACTCCTTGGTACTCATACGTTTGTATGAGTGAGGGTGGGACCTGTGGCTGCTTCTCACCAACAGAACATGGCAGAGATTGACTGGAGATGCGGCCCAGTGGCAGAACATTTGCATGGGCAAGGTCCTGGATTCAATACCCAGCACTGGAAAAAAAGCAAACAAAATAAAAACGGAAAAAAGAAAAAACAATCAAAACTATGGCCGAGATGATGGGATGTCAGTCTATAATTAAGTAACATTATATAAGATTCTGTCTTGCTAAATCTCTTTCTCCTTTCCTGGCGTCAAGGAATCAAGCTGCCATTTTGCCCCAGTACTTATGGAGAAGCCCGGTTGGCAAGGAACTGTGAGCAACCTCTTAGAGCTAAAAGCAGTGCCTAGCCCACAGTCATTGAAAAACTGGATTCCTGGTCTTACAGCATCAAGGAACTCAATTCTGCCAACAATCTGCATCTGGAAGCTCATCTACCACTAGTCAGGTCTCCCCATATGGAACTGAGCCCTGGCCCACACCATGAAGACACCTTTGCAAGGAGTGAGTCTGCTCATGACCAATCTCCTCACCCACAGGATGTGGGTGTTGTTTTAAGCCACTGAGTTTATGGCAATTTGTTGTGTATCATGGAAGACAAACACACTCATTCCCTTGTCTTGTAAGCCTCCAATCTGAGTAAGGTGGCCTCAGCTCCCCACCTTTTCTTTTTATAACCTTTAATGTACTGATCAGCAATTCTTATGGTTTGAACAAATGTACTGTTCTTTTTTATTACAAAAAATGAGACAGTCCTGTAACTCCAGCGGCTTGGGAGGCTCAGGCAGGAGGATCATGAGTTCAAAGCCAGCCTCAGCAATTTAGCAAGGCTCAGCGAGACTCTGTCTCTAAGTAAAATATAAAAATGGGCTGGGGATGTGGCTCAGTGGTTGAGTGCTTCTGGGTTTAATCCTTGGTACCAAAAAAAAAAGGAAAATGAGAAGGTCATTATAAATTATATATGAAATAGATAAAAGCAAGCCAGGTATGGGGGCACACAACTGTAATCCCAGCAGCTCTGGAGGCTGAGGCAGGAAGATCACAAGTTCAAAGCCAGCTTCAGCAACTTAGTGAGACTCTAAGCAACTCAGTGAGACCCTGTCTCTAGATAAAATATATATGTTAAGCAAACAAAAAAAAAGTAGTGGGGATGTGGCTCAGTGGGTAAGCACCCCTGGGTTCAATCGCTAGTACGATAGATAGATAGATAGATAAAAATAAAAGAAACTAATGATATTCACCCCACTTTTTCTGGTAAATTCAAACTTTCTTCTGGGCAACTCTCTATGTTTGAGCTCTATAATTTTCACTCTGCTACAGAAGAACTTTTACCCAAATATAAGTTTATAATTAGAAAGACTATACTTACATGGATTGCACTTGAACTTTTCCAAAGAGGCAAGCACTGAAAATATTCATATAATTGGGAAGAGGCATTATTCCCAGAGAGGGAAGTTCCCATGGACACAGTAAAGCCATTATCTAATCTTTGCTCAGAGGGATTTTCATTCTACTCCAGGAGGAAAGAAGTGCCAAGTGTTTGAGGAAGTTGGTCCTGAACATATTTTTAGTAAATAAAAGGCTTCGGAATTTAGCATTTAGGTGCTGAATTTAGCAAAGGAGGCACAGAGAGACAGACTGAGTTCTCCTTGAACTTTTTTTTTTTTTTTTTTTTTTTGTAGTTTTCGGTGGACACAACATCTTTATTTATTTATTTTTTTTTTAATTTTTATGTGGTGCTGAGGATCAAACCCAGTGCCCTGCGCATGCCAGGTGAGAGCATTACCGCTTGAGCCACATCCCCAGCCCATCTCCTTGAACTTTTTATTTCCTTTCCCTCTTCACCCCTGGGCAGCTGTGAGAGGCGCTCTGAGTCCTCCAGCCAATAGCTCAAGGGATCTTTCTTCCTTCTTCCTTTCCAGCTTTTCCTCTTTCTGTAGCTCATACAGCAGTTTCCATTAGACCACAAAATCGCCACCGTGAGGCCACCTCTCCCCTTCACTTTCCTACTGCACTGCAGCTCTCGATGGGGAATCACTAGGTGCATTCTTTCTTTCTTTTCTTTTCTCTTTTTAATTATGGTACTTGGAATTTAACCCAGGGTCATTCTACCACTCAGGTATATCCTTGATCTTTTTATTTTTTTTATTTTGAGACAGGATCTCCCTAAATTGCTGAGCCTGACCTTCAACTTGCAATCCTCCTGCCTCAGCCTCCTGATTTGTAGGCGTGAGAAGTGTGTACCAACACACACACACACACACACACACACTGCTTCACTGGGTGCTTTCTATATGCTCATGCTTTCATTTAACAAACATTCCGACATGGCTGCTATATGCTGGGCATTGTGGAGGATGCTGACCAAGGGGCACCTGGATCTAGTGGGGGAACCTGGTACATGCACTGGTAACACACTGTGATCTCTGCATGCTCTACTGGATGTCCAAATATACCTAGAACCAGGGAGCTACAGTAGAAAAAGGACAGCCAGAGCAGGCACAGGGGACAGGAATGAAGGTTGGAGAAAGAAAATTCTTCACAAAGAAAAAGATTCAAGCCAGGTACAGTGACACTAGTCTATAATCCCAGCAACTCAGGAGGCTGGGGCAGGAGGATCGTGAATTAAAAGCCAGCCTCAGCAACTTAGGGAGGCCCTAAGCAACTCATCGAGACCTTGGCTCTAAATAAAATACAAAAAAGGGCTGGGGATGTGGATCAGTGGTTAAGCACCCCTGGGCTCAATTCCCTGTACAGAAAGAAAGAGAGAAAGAAAGAAAAAAGTTTAATTTTAACTCACAGTTTTGAAGCTTCCAGAACATGACTGGACAGACCCATTGCTTTTCTTTTCTTTTTTAATTTTTATTGTTGGTTGTTCAAAACATTACATAGTTCTTGATATATCATATTTCACACTTTGATTCAAGTGGGTTATGAACTCCCATTTTTACCCCGTATACAGATTGCAGAATCACATCAGTTACACATCCATTGATTTACATATTGCCATATTAGTGTCTGTTGTATTCTGCTGCCTTTCCTATCCTCTACTATCCCCCCTCCCCTCCCCTCCCCTCCCCTCTTCTCTCTCTACCCCCTCTACTGTAATTCATTTCTCCCCCTTGTATTATTTTTCCCTTTCCCCTCACTTCCTCTTGTATGTAATTTTGTATAACCCTGAGGGTCTCCTTCCATTTCCATGCAATTTCCCTTCTCTCTCCCTTTCCCTCCCACCTCTCATCCCTGTTTAATGTTAATCTTCTTCTCATGCTCTTCGTCCCTACTCTGTTCTTAGTTACTCTCCTTATATCAAAGAAGACATTTGGCATTTGCCCATTGCTTTTCAATCATGGCAGCACATCATGGTGGAAGCATGTGGCAAAGCAAAGCCACTCACTTTGTGGCCAGGAAGCAAAAGAGAGAAAGATGAAAGGTCCACAAGTTCAAAGCCAGCTTCAGCAACTTAGTAAGACCCTAAGAAACTCAATGAGACCTTGTCTCTAGATAAAATATATATGTTAAGCAAACAAACAAAAAGTAGTGGGAATGTGGCTCAGTAGTGGGGATGTGGGTTCAATCGCCAGTATCCCCTCAAGGAAAGGCATGTCCCCATATGACCAGAATGCTTATAACTAGGCCCGATATCTTAAAGCTTCTATCACCTCCCAAGAGCACTACAGTGAGCTCTTTGTGAGACATTTAATATCCAAACTATAGCACATACTAACATGCAAAGATGTCCAACTATTCTAAGTTTTAAAAAACGTTGTAAAATAATACAAATATGGTTCACATTAGCATAGGTATTTTTAACTTTTTATTTTGAGATGATTTACATGCAATTAAAGAAATTATTAATACAGAATCACAGTGAGATGCAATTTCACACCCACTAGAATTAGATGGCTATAATAGAGAAAACAGATAAAAACAAATGTTGGTGAGAACATGGAGACATCAAGATCCTCATCCACTGCTGATGGAAGTGCTAGATTGTGCAGCCTCTTTGCAAAATAGCTTGGCAGGTGGTGCACACATGTAATCCCAGTGGCTCCAGAGGCTGAGGCAGGAGAATCCTGAGTTCAAAGCTAGCCTCAGCAATTTAGAAAGGCCCTAAGCAATTTAGCCAGACCCTGTCTCTAAATTAAAAAATAGAAAGGGCTAGGGATGTGGATCAGCAGTTAAGCACCCCTGGCTTCAATCCCCAGTACCAAAAGAAAGAAAAGAAAGAAAGAAAAATAGCTTTAGCAATTCAAAAAGTTAAACATATCACTTGGCAATTTTACTCCAGGTATATACCTAAGAGAATTTAAAACATGGCCACAGAAAAATGTGTACATAAATGTTCATAGCACCATTGTGCATAATAACCAAGACATAGAGACAACCCAAATGTCCTTCAACTTATGAATGGATAAACAAAATATGCAAGGATTTCCATGTAATGAGATATCATTTAGTCATAAGTAGAAATGAAGTATTGATAATACTACAACATAGAAAACTACAACCTTGAAAACCTTTATGTTGAATGAAAGAAACCAGACAGACACAAAAGGACACATATTATGTGATTGTGTTTATATGAAACATCTAGAATAGACAAATCCACAGAGATGAGAGTAGATCAATGGTTACCAAGGGCTGGATGGAAAGTGGGACGGGAGTGAGTGCTGATAGGTGCAGGGTTTCTTCCTGAGATCATAAAAATATTCTACAATTAGTGGGTGAGGTTTCTCAGCTCAGCAAATACATTTAAAGCTACTGAGTTGTACATGCTAATAGAGTAAATCTTGTGATATATGAATTATACAGCTCAATAGAACTTATTGAAAAAAGAAAGAATATAGAGAAATCCTGTGTACCTCTCACCCCTTTTCCTTCAGTGGTAATATTCTATGTAGCTAAAATACAGTATCACCATCAGGAAATTGACATTGATACAATCCATCAGCCTTATTTAGATATCATCAATTTATATACACTCATTTATATGTTTATTTAGTTCTACATGACTTTTTTTTTTTTTTTTTTTTTTTTTTTTTTTTT